AAAGGGCTGATTGACCGTTACTGCAGAAGTACTTTTATCGTTGAAAAAGCAATAAAATTAACGGGGTTATCTCTGGATAAATAATGAAATTTTCTGAAATATTCGCGGCCGGGTATTCGGGCAATTAATTCGGCGAAAAACTTTGCGGCCATCTAGGATTCGGCACTAGGACTCCTCCCCCGAAATGGAGAAAAAGGCAATGTTTTATCTACATAGCAACAAGACAAAATTCTAGAACGTAATTAAATAAACATTACATTCTCATGTAATAGAGGCCGTTATTTGAGATTAAGATTTCCACATTGGATTTATTAAAGAATCGTGTCAAAGCTCACTAGGGATCTCTGTCGAAGGATCAAAATTTCCACTAAAGTAAACGATGACTGGATGTTTAATATTGAACATACATAGTTTTTTCATTACGTGATACTTTTTAAATTTACAAAAAATAATTATTCCTCATCAAAATTGTATGTCGGTGATGAAAAGGCAAACGGAAAGCTAGTTCTGTTTTGGATTTTGTGGTAGAATTATTTTGCAGCATATTTTTCGCATTAAGTCTGATGAAAGATATGTCAAAGAAAGAAATCGCATACAAAAAATTATTTAACAATCAAAGTGGAGACTAAGATTTAATAGAAAATTTCTGAAGTTCGTGGTTATATTCGACATTTTGTAAAAAAATAATTGTTATTAAAAATTTAGAAAATCTCTTAAAAATTCGCGCAAATATTAGCAGAAAATGGACTAGCCATTACTGATCTAAACAACACATTATTAGGAAAAATAAAAAAATATTAACTACCGTATTTATTAACGTTTTTTAGAAATATCTGACTAACTGGCATAGTTTTCGTTTTCCTCTTTGAATTCAGAAAGTTTACTCTTAAACAACGGTGATCAGTTTGTAGAAATTTCTTCTATACAAGATAGACCAGTTTCTAGAATAAATATTAAAGCGAGTCTTTCCCTTAGATCATTTAAATTTTATTATTTAATTTAAGTTACGTAGTCTAGCAAGAATTCTTTTGGTACGCGTAATCCAAGAAATGGATGACAATATAAGACGAGAGTACTCAAAGTGTAGCTTCGAATGTACAACTGTTTACATATCCTTTCAATTCATAAAAATATTTTTTGCTTTAACCCTTCCCTTCAGGAATGCTATATACTTCATAATTTACGCCATGGCTTCAAGTAATAGATATTTTTAAATGGAACGAAATATGCTCTCTCGTTGATACTAATTAATAAACGTTTTTTATATTACCGTTATTATATTGTAAGCAAACCGTTAAGGGTGCTCGGTACCTTTTGAATGCATTTTTAAAACCTTTCATCTACTTTTTATGAATATTATTAAATGCTTTTGTAAGAAAAAATGATTTTAAGCTGAAAAAACGTTTTGCCGGTAATTTGTTTTTTTAATAAAAAAATTTTTAAAGAAAGATTTAACAATTAAAATGTCTTTTCCCGCAATTTTCAATGTTCTTACCTGAAATTTTTTATTGTATTTATTAGAGTGTTCTTAATAACTTTAAGGATCGATTTTACAGTTAATGGAATAGTTTCTGAGAAAAAAAAATAAAAAGCACATTTTTAAGTAAAAACTTCGAAAAAAATATGATCTCAATCATATTTTCACTTCCAATAATTATAATATTCACTTCTTTTCCCTATTTTTCAAAACCAATCCTTGTTTCTATTAAGCATATAATTTTAAACAAGCGGTAAAAATGTTAAACAATTTAGTCCATATTTTTATAAGTTTTAGGACTTTAATAGGATTTATTGAAAAAGTGCAAACCGAGAAGACGCAGTTTAAAGAATATAAACTGTCTGAATGGTCATTAAAATTATTTCAATTTCTTTAACATTTTATTACCGATTTTCAGTATATATATATATATAATAAAATCGTGTTCAACTGGTTAATACAAGCATAAATTGCAAGCTTTTGTTTAAAACCTTATCTGGGCATAAATACTGCAAAACAAATTATAAAATGCAAGCAGAAATTTTCCTTTACCTGCTTTTGTTTTTTAAAACACATTTAAAACAAATTTAATACATGAGTTAATTATAATATATTTTCTAAAGCACTTATAATCAATATTAATAATATTAACTTGTCATTTTATTCATTTTTTCTAAAAAGCAAAATTTGAAATTTGAACCGACATAAAAAATTTAATTTAAAACCACTCGGCTGCGTGTTCTCGTTTATAAATTGCATATAAATTAATTTAGGTGTATTTTAATTAATTAAAGAGTTTAATGTTTGTTCTAGCACTATATCAATAACGCTACAGTCAGGATCTTGATCACTTTCATTACGTCGCCTCTTTCTGTTCGTGTCTCATCGTAAACAATTTCAGTTTTTGAAGAAGCATAGCAAAGCTGGCTGATAATACACATAGAAATATTTGCTGAGCTGAATATATATAAACCTGCCAGTTTAAAGATGAAAATTGTTTTTTTTTTTTTTTCAATTTCACTTTGTATTTAAATAAATCAGTTTGTACATGTAAACAGAGTTTGCTGATAGTTGCAATCATATTTAATCCTCCTGTTCATTTACGCTGATTTTTATTAAGTTACTGAAACAATTAAGAAGTTAAAAAATTAAACACTGAGGGGGGTGGTATTTAAAGGGCTGTCAAAAATTTTAAAGGCATTTTATACCATTTTATATCAGATCATTTAAAAATTTCTCTTCAGTGTAGTAAAGGTATTTTTCTAGCAGAAAATTGAAGAATCTGTAATTTAATTGATTTTGGGGTATCAAGTCCCCTTAAAGCTGATATGAAACTAGAGTTTTGCTTAAAATTACGACTAAAACTATCACATTTGCACTTCAATGGTTAGAAATACGAGTTTCTCAGCTAATTTAGTTTATCCCTTACTAATAGCTAATATAAAATCTTCAGTATCTTGTCTTTAATCTGCCAGTCGAAGAATCTGCCAAATTGACCAGAAATTTTCTAACATTTATTTCCAATACCAATTCTTAGTCACGAAAATCTATGATAACTCTATTTTATCTGTGGTTGTTTATGTATGCACTAATGTACACTAATCGAATCAACGAATGGCGCTGCCTACGCATCTAACTATTAATCTAACGACGTATCTAAACGCCACATCTAAATTTCTGCAAGCGGTGGTTCAGTTATAATTCTATGATCAAATACTCAATCTAGTTTTAAAAGGATTTATTAAAATACTAAAATTAATCTAATCTAGAATCAAATCTAATGTTCTCATGAGCAGCGTTGTAGCTGCGTCATAACAAATCGAAAGTTAAGTTCTCACTGTTACCGTTCCAAGACAGAAAAAAGTTTGTTTCTTATCAAACCGGAACATCGGCAGAGTGAAAGTTTCTAGTCAAACCGGAACAGTGGTATTATACGTGATATTTATGGATTTATAGTTATCTTTGATAACTATATTTTATGTATAATGTGCTTTTTTAGTCTTGAAAGAAAATTTTTATTGCATGGATCAGTTTATGATTTTGGATACTATGCACAAATCAGTTCATAAATCTTAAGCTTTCAAGAATTTGCGATTAATACTCGAAATTAAATTAATTAATGATCTTGCACTTTATTCCGAGATAAAAACCAGCATCATTAGAATGCATTTGTATAATTTTTGTAAAAATATATTTTTTTTAAGTCGACGTAATTCCCTGTATAGAGTAGCTTAATTCCTTAACAACTTCTATAGAGTGTGATTAAAGATTTCTGCTTTGCTTTGTGTTATGGTAAAGGGTGTTATTTCGTATGAAGTTATACATTTTGATAATACATGGTAAAGTATGTTAAAAAAGTATTTCCTGCTTAACAGCTAAAATAAGCTACTTAAATTTATCTCAAAATAATTTAGTTTATTAAATAAAGTTTAATATCTATCAAAAAAGGTATGAGTATTAAAATAACTGAGAATATGTCTATCAGATTATTGATGAAGTACAAGTCCGTAAAATCAAGGTAGACACTTGATTTCGCTCTCAATTATTGGGGTAACACTGGAACGACGTCCACGGTTAGCTCAAAATCACGATTGATCCGAGGTCAATTAAGAAAACACAGAAAAGGGGAATAATACATTTTATAATTAACACAGAAATGAAAAAACTTTATCATAAATTGCATTAAAGAACAATATTACAGTATTGATAGAATAATAGCTTTAACAGTGTCATTAAGTTCAAATTCGAGTGAAAAAGTCGGTTACATTTTTTCCCGTTTGATAGAGATAATCTGGCAGATATAATTTATCATCGCTGTTGTTATTTTATATATTATTATTTACTTCATACTTTCGGGAGGATTTTATGTTTTATCCTGATGGTTTGCAACAGTTTTTCCATCATTGCGCAATAAACAAACATAATTTTATTTTAGACGAGCCCGTTAATCGAGAGTTGACTTTTACTACGGGAAGACAATAAGAGCATCCTATCTCCCTGCCTTTGGATAGATAGATAGCTTCGTGAAAGACGAAGAAAAGTCAGTTTGCATTTGCGTTGTACAAGGGAAAACCAAACCGCACCTTAATGCGCAACCATCTCAACTGGCAGGAAGTAAATAACCAACATACCACTTTTCGAGTTTTATTTAATCCAGTTGGTAGGGGGTTTGTAAGAAGAAACACTGTTTTATATACTTGCCGACGTGCGACTTTGGAAAGGCAAAGTTTGATTCCGCTTGTCAAGCGAACGTTATGTAACATACATAACAAAAGGAACATCGCCAGTTAACCTCTGAGTTACAGATTTCACATTTTCACCCGAGAGATGAAACGCAACGAATTACCTTTCTTTTTTGAAAGAATGAGGAGTCATCAGAAATCAATGCGCTGGTTAATATATAATAGCCGACTAACAACAAACCACAGCACCGATCACCTTCAAGGCCACCGCTCACGTGCTTCTCTGACTGGTAGATAGGTAACTGCAAGGTTGTAAACCTTCTTTTGAGAAAATATCTTCCTTAAAAGTGTCAGTGAAAAGGAATAATTGGAAGTATTGTTGCTTAAAAGATAGGGATAATTTTATTCTGGTTGAAATCATATCTCTTCTCCGAATACGACGTACACGCTCCCTCTTATAATATTTGGTAAATTGAAGTTAACTTCATCGATCTGTTAACTAGTGTTAGAGTTATTGCTGCAAATTTCTTGAATATTTCTTCTTTCATCATAAGTAAGTAAATAAATTTATATAATAATTTGAAATTCTAAGTTTTTATAAAATATGTTATATGTACTAAATTATATCATTAAGCTTAAACACTTAAATATAGTATATTACTGTTTCACTTATCATTCATTTTCATGAAGCTTTACAAATTTATATTTTTTTCAAATGATTGACTTTCGAAGCGAAGAGCTAACTCGTCTATTGAAATTATTTTTTATTGGAATAATTGTTATTGTTCCTAGATTAGTTCAATTTCCAAAATGCTTTTCTGATTACAAAGTATATAAATTTGGAAGTATTTAATTCAGGACTTTTCTTTACTTCTAGTACGATACGCGTAGTGTTCTTCAGAATTCGTAAAAATATGTAATTTGCTTGATTTTGATTTATTTTTTATGGCATTTCTTGTTTTAAATCGCTTGATTACATCTCATACTATTTGTTGTACATTGCTTACATGAGCTCAGTTTACCATCGTTACAGTATCTCTTATTGACAACCCATGTTAAAAATGCTTTATTATAAGTTCACGTTTTTCTAAATTGCCGAATTACTAAAATCCGAATTGACTACCCATTCTTAATCATCAAAAGGAAAATTAGCAAACAAAGAATAAATTAAACGAATAAATTAATACTAAAAACAGGAAACGAGTGAAATGTTTGAAACTTTACCATTTTAAATAAGAAAAATCACAAATTTTTAAGCTGTCCGACTTTTATTTTGAGACTAGTTTTTCACTCTTAATAAGTTTAAATTTTTTTTAATTAGTGGTGGCCAACTTTCTTTTCTGTTTATGATATACCAATGCATATTCAAAATTTTTTTTAAAGAATTTTTACATTTTATTTAAATTATTTCTTATGTTGAAAACTGCTAGACAAAACTTCAAAATGTGTTTCAATTATTGTATGTTTTGAAATTTGCGTGATTTTGTCCAGATATAATTCCAGGCTCATCTAGATTGACTTAATCTAAGACGGAGAAGCCTTTTATTTGATTTCGAATGCTGCAATTTTTTTAAACTTCTTAAAAACTTTTTGAAACATTTATTAATTGATTTTTGGCCTTTAGGACGCATGTTTAGTATAATTAAGTAAGCATACATATCCACTAAAAACTTCCGGCCAGTTCTTATTTGGTTTCCCTTTTTTTTTTTTTTTTTTTTTTTGACGCGACAAAGACAGCAAAAGCGAGCTCTGAGGTCAGCAAGCTGGACACGCCTTCTTTAGCGCATAAAAATGTCAAATCTAATTATTATCAAATGGTTTAGAAGTTCTTGAAACTATGATAATTGTAAGAGTATTAATCATTTCCTCTGAAAAAACCTTTGCCTTGACGTCAGAAAACTATTGCTAACGTATGATTTTAAATTTGCAAATTAGTCCTATTATTTGATGGAAATACTTTGTTTGATGAATATGTAGAAATCATAAAAATGTCCTTCTCTAGAACGGAAATGAAAAATCTTGTTTTGAACTTTTGACTTAAGCTTGACAAATTATGAGCGTTCACATATGTAAGGTCTATATTTTGGTTCTAATAAATTAAAATGCGAAGTGGGTTGGACTGCATTGATTAAGACAACGTTTCTTTATCTTTTTGATTAAAGGAACGTTTCAAAATATCCACTTTTATCGTGTAACCTAGGGGTTGCTTTAATCGCATGGTTTTTAATGCAACATTTAAAAATTTTCTTATAAAGATGCATTAGTTGTCATTTCAATAAAAGTATAGTATTCTTCTGCTGACATTGGTTCAAGTGCTGTGCAATTTCTTCAATAAATGTCTCTCCTATTTCAACCCCTTCTGAAAAGCCTTTTATTCTTGGGAAATAATTATAGTCGCTGAAACTCTCACAAATTGTCCAAAATTCTTTTTCTCGAAAGCAGACATTTTTTCGTGAGCAGTAAAAGCAGTTATTTATTTGCCTTCAAGGGCTAAGTTTAGTTCGTTGGTCTTTGTAAAAATGTCGCTTAAATAGGCAATTTTATGCAACCAGTTTCTATCAAGTAATCAAATTTTCAGTTCGAAATTTTATTCCGGAAAAGGAAAAAAGCACGCATCTCGTCCCTTACCTCAAAAATACGGGTTTTAGTATCTTTTCTCGAGATAACCGTCTGACTTCAATATGCTTGTTTGGTTTATTTGAGTATGGCAAACAACACTCTAGGGCTATCTGCCTGAGGGAAAGGATGGCTACCTGGCGGACTTTCTAAGGCCAACTGGCTTATATACGTTACGGTGAAACACCGAAATCTGGAGAATGTTGACTTTCACCGTTGAATGTCAACATTCACATAGTCGCTTGGTCCGAAATATTTTCCAAATACTCTTATTTCTGACTTACACCGGTGAATGTCGACATTCATCATGTACTAATGGTGAATGTTGAACATATAAGAATATTATATTTCCTTCTCTGTAATTCATTCTCGAAAAAACGCACTTGAGACTCAGAATAAGAACATAAAACACACAGTACATTGAAAATGAGAAAGGAAAATAATAGAAGTTATAAACTTACCAAATTATGTGATTCAAATCTTATTTATTGCAACAACTTAAACTATTTATGACACTTTGAATTGCACAAGAGGACCTTGCTTTTACAACTGCATTTTATTTGTGGAACGCTTCCTTTTGGAATGGCAGCGTGTACATATACTCCTCTCTTTTCGACCTACACCAGAGCATATCTGTGATTGTCGACGTATACCGGTGAGGGTCCGAATGTACAAAAATGTAAAGAAATATTCGATCTTTTACTGATGTATTTGGTGAATGTTGACATTCTCCGGTGAAAGTCGACATTCTCCAATTTCGGTCTTTCACGGTAACATATACATGTTACACATGGGGAAAACCACGAAAACGCCCATGCAGCCACCCCATTAACGGGAATTTGAGCCTCGGACCAAACTACCAGTTTTCAGCGACTTTACCGCTCAGCCGCTGGTGGGCCGACTTCAGTATGTAATAAAAGAGATATATGTACACTACCATGTTTTCACATAATACTATTTTGAATAAACAATTATCTAGTGACCGAGATTTTATAACGTTTTAATGATACTGACGACCTCGCTAAGAGCAGTCTTGTAACTGGGGGATGCTTTCTTTGCCTGCCTTATGGATCAAGCAGTGGCTACTGGAATAATTTTTGACAATATTTTTAGGAAGAAAAAACTTAAATGTTTTAAAGCAAAAAACTTTCAATGGATTTATATTTTATCAGACACATCGACGTGACTATTATTCCCTGCTCCTCGCAGAACCCTTTAATAATAAGCCGTGGAATCACCGATACCGGGATTCCAGGTGATTCCCTTGTGCATACCAAAGTACCAAAAATTGTCTGAACAGCGTCGTCACAACTTGCGACATCGAACTGTCGCATTTGCAATGACTATCCAGATTAGTAGGCGGAAGCGAGGGTTAATTTTTATTCTATTTTTCTAATTTCGTGCAGGCATTAATTTTTATTACTTTTTGAAATTTAGCTTCTTGAGTGGCATCAAAAAAGGCATGTACGTTTCGCGGAACCCTTGAGTGATTTCCTCGGAGTTCCTCGAGTTCCATGGAACGCAATTTCTGAAACGCTGAATTAAGATATCAAAATACGACATTTCAATTTCTCTAAAAGGTCGAGGATAGAGGATTTTTTTCAGCTTGTTAAATGAAATTTTGATTGACTACTACCACGGTAGATAATCTGAAAAAAAAAATAATCTCTTATCATTACTACCATAGCAAAATGTGTAGTTTTAGTATCAGCTATTGCCAAAAATTTTGAGCTTTATTTAGAAAAATGAACTTCTGACTAAAGAATTGTATTTATCTGTTTCAGTCTTTGTTTTGCAGAAATAAAGGTGGCGATGTAGAGTTATTAAAAAACTCAGTTTTTATTTTTTATGATTAATATCAAAATTTTTTACTGTGCGCCAAGCTAATTTTTTCTGTCAGCAGGGTAAAAGTTTCAAGTGTTCCATGGATTGAAAAGAGGAATTTTCGCGGAAGGTGTGGAAATAAATTGCTTCACTTTCACATGAAAAACAAAGATCAGATCAAAAAATAAATAAATAAAAGTTATAAAAAAAATGAGAAATTGGAAGAACACTTTGTCGCCTAATATCTAATGAACACTAATCACGCAGTGCAGTGAAGTTTATATATTAATACCTAAATATGATATCAAATAGTTGTTTCTATAAATATATAATGTATCGCAAGTGATTTTGTGTTTTCTGCTTAACAAAGCGATGTTTATAAAATTTAGAAAGAGGACCTGGATGCTTTGTCGCATTAATGAGTTTTAAAGTATACGATGTCTCGTTTGCATGCTGATAGGCTACTCGTTTACCATAGCCTATGTCATGGGCTCGAATCCCGGAGAAATATGTTTGTAGGTATGTATGTAGTGTCTTTGCAGCATGAAGTAACTTAAAATACTCTTGCCCCAAAAGTCCCCCTCCCGTCATGAAAATCTCTTTCAAAATTGGAATGGAGTTGGATGAAATCATTCGGTCACTTATAAATTACCCAAAGCCAACGGCAGCCTCTGTCCTTTGGCCACAATAAAATTAATATACGTAATAAATTAGTAATAATCGTATAATTAGCCTGATGCTATCGTAAAACAAATGAGAAGTTAAAGCAAAATATGATGTAATATAACTAAGAATAAATATGTTGTAATATAAAGCATAATAAGAAGATAAATAAGAAATATGTGCATCTATAGATGTACTACATTACAACTTGCATTCTTATTTGGCACAAAATCATAATTAAAATCAACAGTTATCATTGTAGTTCGAATAAAAAACTTAATCTTCAGAAATTTCTTTAAAATTTCAAATATGCAAATAATTTTTAACATTATTATGTGATATTGGTGAATAGGCATATCATTTAATAAAGCTGAAATTCCCCAAATCGGCGAGGTGTTTATTTTCTACCAATTCCTTCCCTTTTCTAGACGTCTGAAAAAGCTGATCTCAAGGCCAGCTGGATTTTTTGTCTAGTCTACTCCCTTCCCCCTTTCAAATGGCTGGTCTAAAGACTGGGGGTTAAAGAACCGTTATCCTATATGAAATACAAAGTGAAAGTTACTTTTCGAAGCGGCTGCCAAACTAGCAGGAGCTCAACTAACTAGTGTAATCCACCTGCACGACTGGCAGGAAAAAAACAGACCGACTGCAGGAATCGAGAATCGACTTGAATGGATCTTGTTCATGAATTAACTATCAGAAATGTTTCCCTTCGGTTTCACAAGGATCTTCAAATCCTGAAAGGTATTTAAAGAAGGTTTATGCTTTCAAAAAATTAATAGTTAACCTCTAATTCCAACCTTTCTATTCTTTAGTACCCAATTATAGTCAGAATGCATTGCAATGAAAATGTCTTAATCTCTTATAATTTTAAGTGCATCAGATTTCACTTGCCAGTGACGTCTTAACAACAAAACAACCTTAAAACAAAACAACCTTAAAAGCAGCTTTTAAGGTTGTTTTGTTTTATTATCCCTACGGAGATTATTAGGCAGAATTCCCTACAAGAGCTTTAAAATTTAATTGTTAAAGTTCAACTATTTTTTATTTACATTTGGATATTATTTTTATCAGAAATTTTGTACACGCACCTTTATTCTAACTTGAATATTTTAATACTATTTAATGCAGCTTAACCCACTAGATTTTTGAGTGATACCTTTAATTCAAAATTTGTACACTGTATTGTAACAATATAATTCATTCTAAGGAAATGATGATATGATGTTGTTAGTTTAAAAAAAAAATCGTGAGAGTTATATTGTCGGCATATAAATTTTAAGAGAAAGAATTTCTAATAATTAAAGGGAATTTTATCATAAGTAAATAAATTTAATTTTATAAATTATAGCAAATACATTTCTTTTACTGATTTTTAACTTTTAATCTTTTCCGCTGTATCCTTCTTAAGGACTATTTTTCTATTGTGGTAAGCTACATACTTTTTTTTTGCCAGTGTTATTCACATGATCTTAAAACACTAGCAAAGTTCCGTTGTAGAAACTGAAGTTTTCGAATACCGTTTAATACTTTATGGTAGGTTTTGTTTTTCTTCACAGTAGATTTCGATTAACATTTTGATGGTTTATTGCATCTCTTTTGCTGATGATGTATTATCTGTAGCTTTTTATCGAAATATAATAATTTTAAGTTTGTATGAATTATATAAAAATTTCTTACTAAGACATTTTGGAAGTACCTGCTAGAGAATATATATGGTTAATTTTACATATATTGTTATAAAAGTATTTAAGCGTCATTTTTTCTGCCATCTGCGTTTTGATTAAATCTTATTCTCTTACAGCAATGAAATTAATCTAATTGTTTCACCACTTGTATGAACTTTTGGCAGCCTGTCATCTCCATATGTAACATGTTTACTAATTGGTTTTAATTATAATTCGAGTTCCACTTGGATTTTGACTTGCGCGATCCTACAAATCAGCTTTTCAGTTCAAATTATTAATGAACAGAATTGCGGGTGATGGGCCAAACTAGCCTTATCACAAAAGAGCCCTCACGATTTTATTCCCGATTTAGCCCGAACATGAAATATCTGTTGACCAGGCTTTCCCAGCGCATATTACTATTAGCCTTCGATATTTATAATTTATCTTCCTCTTAAGTGCCATACCCTAAACTCTAAAGCCGTACACCATGAAAAGTTCAGTTCTATGCTTATAGATGAGAGAATGTTCGTTGAAATTAATACCGCACGTGTTGTATGCAATTCGACTAAATCTAGTATGCAGTTTATCACATTTCTGTGATACGTAAGTAAAATTTTGCTACCAAGAAAATTTACTGTCAAAGAAGAAAAACCTAAGATATTTCATTTCCTTTACCACAACCAATGGAGTTCCGTCGAGAAATAACTGAAATGCATCATAACAAACGTTTCGCTTTTCAGTAATCATAACTCCGGTTTTATCAGGATTCAAGTCCAATTTGAAACATTTTGACTAATCGGAACTGAGGTTTAAAGTCTCCTGTCCTTGAAAAAAGTAGCTGTATGATCTCTACTCTGAAAGCAAACCAAGCTATCATATTCAAAGGCTGTAGTATCGCAAAAGGCAAGAGTTTTTAAGCTTTGACAGCAAATCATTAATAATAATATTCCAAAACATAGGTGGAGAAATCGAGTCTTGAGGGCAACCCCTTTCAAAGCTAGGGATTGCAAAAGCCGAGGCCAATTGTAATTTGACTCTCCTATTATTTAAAATGTCAGAACCAAGTGAAAAGTATTCGTTAAAAGTTCCACTTTTTTAAGAAGGTTGAGAATATAAGGCCAGCACGCATTATCGAAGGTGCTTTAAAAAAATAGTTCGAAAATTTTTCTTTTTTACATAACTGAAATATCTCATTCAAATGTAAAATGAGCAGGACTTAGAAGAGAAGGGCTAGTTCATAGAGCTTTTCCCCCTGAAACAGGAAATGAGGAGTTAGGACGTAATCATATTGACACTGACTGCAAAGACACAATTCACATCAAAGAAATAAACGTTTTAAATTTGAAAAAGGCACATTAAGAAAACTATGCATGAAAAAATAGTTTTAATTTCGAAGAGAAGGTATTATTATTGTAAGCTTTTATAACGTTAAAAATACTTATTTATTTAATTTAAAATAATATATAAAATGTACTAAGTTTTCTTAAAAGTTGCAGGCTTTTTTCCCCTATTTATTATAAAATCATGAAGAAAAAACAATGGAATCCATTATCTTTGCTTCATCTGCATACTAAGTGAGAAAATTCCATTATTCTTTCTAAGATAACTATAATAACAGCTTTTTAAAGTTAGGCCCGGAGAAAAACAACTTAGTTTGGCGTAGTTTTGAATATATTTTGTTTTCTGCAACTAATGAAGAGGAACTTATGTTTGACTGCCCTTGAAATAGATAGTTTTATTCAAAATTTAATCTAATCTAAGATTGCTTTTTTGACCTAATTATAAATTTCACATTAGTATGTTTCTCTTCCGATTTGATATAATAACAGATATTTTAAAAATAGTTGTCTAACTTATACTCACATTTATACACGTACATTACATTTAAGTAAATGCAAGATATTTATCTTAAGTTTGACAAAACAACTTTGCTCACAATATCTGAAGAGAATCATAAAAGAGGGGCGAAGGAGAAAAATCGTTTTTATGCGAAATTACTCTGATGTTTTATAGGGTTATAAATTACCTAAAATGGTGAGACAGCTTTGTTTATCAAATTATCAATTATTATACGTTCATTCTTGTTTAAATTTACAGTTAGGGCATTCAGCAATATTTACACCGTCATTTTTGAGCTTACAATCATTCATACTTGATTTATTATTACTATCAACATTTTCATAATGGGCTTCAAAATGAATTTTCTCCAAATTTATTTCGTGTAGTCTTTCAAAAGCACTCAGCATTATTTTTCTTGGTACAATATTGGATTTTAAGTTTCCTTTGCGGCAATCCAATCAAGCGATTCTTCATGTTATCTTCACAATCACAGCATAGAAAATGTTCGCTGCAAATTTTTGCGCTCTTCACATTAACAGAGTCCTGTCTTCGACACATGTGTCCATTTTTTTCCCAAAAGCAAATTATACTGTCAAAAAATGTGCAATACAGTATTATTATCCTTCTCATTTCCATGAATTTTCTGGCACTTTGCTACAACGCAAGAAGACATATTGCATAAATGATACTGTAGTCTTAAACTTAAATTGCAATCGGGCACAATTACAAAAAAAAGGGGGGGGTGAGGAGGGATTAAAAAATTTGATTAAATTTAAAACTTTTTACTAGATATTTGTAAAAACATACGAATAAAAATAACGAAAAAATGTCAAATTTATAGTTATATTTAGCATGAAGTCTAAAGGTTAGTATCTGCAAGAAATCTGTTTTGGTTATTATTTAGAATTCAGACAGCTAAATACTAAAATTTGACCGCTAAATTTTCATACTGGCATTTATTCAACTAATTTTAAAATGCTGAAATACTAAGTAACTTGCTTTTAATTTAAACTAAAAAGAAATATACAAAAGCTTCCCATGAGGGACGGAACTTGATAATAAATGACAACCTATTCTGTTTCTTTTATTTATTAGATTTTTCTATGACGCAGAAAATGTAATATTTGTATGCAAATTATTGTAAACATCTTTGTTTTTTACTACACCTTTCAGCTACCTTATTACGTTTCGATTTTCGTGAACTTTGTAATCTTGGAAGGAAATTACTAAAATGTATCATCAGAAGTTGGAGATACTCATCGGCAGCGAGGTTCTTTTCGTAGACTTATTAATTTTCAGTAACGAGAAAAAAAGCTGATCTCATGTAAATGTACTCAAAACAGAGCTTTCAAAATTTCGTGTCTGAAGATATTTATCTTTTGACAAGTACTAATAAATGTTAAACAAATTTGTGTCTTAAAATCTTTGAAAATGATTTATATCACAGTGTAACTTAATTAGCTCCATTTCTAGATTTTTCGTTTTTGGTAATGAATATACCGTACAACTGGACTCCAAACCATTAAAATCTTAAACTTTTTCTTCAACTTCTTTTCATAATAATGCTAATTAATTTACGGGAAATTCATTTGCAGACAGCATAAAATTACTTCGAGGACCGCCAGTTTGACTTTTAGAAAGTTTTCCCTGTCTTCCAATTTCAATCTTTTTCATAAGTGTTAAGAAATATTTTCACTCTCAAATAAAACATAAATAAGCAAATAAGTGCTAATAAATGGGCTATATACTTCAAGAATGATTGTGCTATTCTTAGTAGAACTTTGTATATATAAACTATGTAAATGACAGAAGTTTCCTCATTTCTCATGTCTTTTTTGAGTCTCATTTGTGTACTAATTCTCATTTTTTAATACACTACTAATTTATGCAAACTCTTAATAATTAATAATCAAAGTCTTCTTTGCTGTCTGAAATGTTTTAGGCTTTCAAATACATTTTTCTAAATCTTCAGTATTTGAAAATGTTTTGCGAATTATTTAAATCTCAGTATTTTTAAGGCAGAACGTGACTTTTTACTTTCACATTAATATGCATCATCATATTTTCAAAGATATTTCGGATCTTTTTTGTTGTAAAGTTTTGTCCGGAGTTGTATCTAAAGTTGTAAAGTTTTTGTTTTGTTCAGATCTTTTGTTTAGCTCATGCTAAACGGTTTTCTACATAAAAGGATACGTGACAACGATACCTATCGGCCATCATTAATTTAAATGTGCT